CTAAATAAATGCTCACATAACCACTTTTAAACAAGCAAAAAATGCAGTTCCCATTGGCCTACTCAATTTCATATTTTGTTTTGTTTCAATATTAGGAAAAGTAGTTTCTGTTCAAGCAATGGAATAAAATGTTTGTTTGTTTGTTTGTTTCTTTTTTAACCTATAGGGAAGTGTCTTCATTGCGGTGATATCTCTGTAAGGCTTTCTGTGATAATCTACTGCTGTGCCAGAATAATTTGTAAGGAGTCGGGTAATGAAATGTCAGTCCACAATTAAAAGATGGTGATTGCAACCAAGTTATGAAAACTGTTCACTGTACACAAATACATTAATCAATCCACATTTTCCTATTTTAGTAGTGAGGTACTTGTTATGGTTACTGTATATAGCAGATGGGTGCATCTCTCTCTATCAGGAATACCCAGTTCTTTTCAGCTGGTGGGCATATCTGGAATTTTGAGAGCCTGTCATTAAGTGCTTCCTAAAATTTATCCTGCCTTTTCTCCATCAGTGAAAAATGCTGCTATCCAGTTTTTCTCCCAACAATAATCCTGCAAAGTAGATTGAGCTGAGAGAACGACTGGCCTAAAATCATCCCGTGGTAGCCATCCATCCATGGCTAAGGGTGGACTTGAACTTGGGTCTCTTCAGTCCTATTCCAGCATGTTGACTACTACATCAAAAAGAGGCATAGCTGTTGGTGCGCTGGAGTAGGGTTGAAGGGATGGCCTTGTCCATTCCCAAAATTGCTGCCATGGTGGACATAATTTCCATTTACCTGAAGGAAAATCAGGGATGTGGTTTCACGCCACTCTGTGTAATACAGATGAGTGAAGTAGGGAAAGTGTTCCATTTGCTCTCAGCTTTGGGAATCTAAATTCTAATCCAATAAATTTTTATATTGAAGCTTAAAACAAAATCTAGAGAAGAGTTACTAGATGGTGTTCAAGGTTTACTTTCTAAAATATATGAAGTGCTGGAGAGGTCTCATCTATCTTTTTTGTTTTTGTTTTTAAACCTGACACACTGATAACAGTCCTAGACTGGAAGTTTTTTCTCCACTACTTCCTGAAGAGAGATCAACTCATGCCATTTTAAGTCACTAAGATGATCATCATTGTTTTCCCATCCTTATTGACAGTATTTGATGCACGGACTCTTGTTTGCTTTGCGCTGGAACATCTGCTTGAACATCTGCTTGAACTTCAAGTCAAAATGGATCATTGTTTGAAAACTGCTTTCATAGGCAACTTAAGAATTTAGAATATATTTGAGGCAATCTATTCCAAGTTGACATGATCTGAGAGCAAGTTTAGTTACTCAAATTTTTGTTATGAAATTCTACATTACCTTCTAACTCATTTATAGTTGGGTGGTAAAATTTTCACTCCAGATGATTGCAGTGACAAGTAGCAAGCCTGATATTTAGAGTTTATATCTCATGTGTGAATCAGCAGCATTTTTCCATTTTCAGAATGTTTATCAAAGCAGGCTTTGTGTGTAGATCCTTGTACAAGGAGTCAAAGGCTGACAAGTGTGATGTTTTCCCATGATTGATTTTTAAAAGTACTGTTCTTGTTTCTTGGACTGTTGCCTGCATAGTTATGATTGACATATCCAGTATTTTGTATGCTTTAACAAAAAAGGCTTCTGCAGTAACTCACAAAAACTCAAACTAGGCAATGTTATGGATCGTTATATTCCACAGGGTACCTTGGGTTGCTAAAAGCAGATTCTGGCATTCACAGATAGCCTTGTCTGGATTCCAGAACCAATGACAGAGTTTCTACCTTACACGCCTCTGATTTATCTGGATTAAGTATCAGCTTGTAAGCTCTTATCCAACCTCAAATTGCTTCCAGACACCTAATCGATACTTGCACAGCTTTCCTTGAATTCATGGATAAAAACTTGAGGTAAGACAGAGCAATGAGTCATTAACATACTGATAACATCTTAGCCCAAATCTCACATTGGTTCTTAGTGATATCTTGTAGATGTTAAAGGCAGAGGTGACCAAGCAGAACCTTGAAGCATCCCGGAGGCCAAAGAATATGGGGATGGAATGGTATTCCTACGTAATCTTTCATTCAGGAAGGACCTCTCCATCATGCTTCTTGGCCTATAGCATCCCAGCAACCCAGAAATTTTCCACGGTATTGAAAGCTGCTGAAAGAGTGTGGCCGTTTTAAGATGTATGGACTTCAACTACCAGAATTCCCCAGCTGGCATGTTGAAGTCCACACATTTTAAAGTGGCCAAGTTTATAAAATGCTGATCTAGAAGAACTAGGCTGTGAGATTTCTTACCCACGGTTCTGGTCTAAATTTGAGATAATCAAGAGTATAGTATTTCTATCCCAAACTAGACTCGAAGCCAGACTGAACTGAATCACTAATGCAAGGCCAACTTCTACTGTAACTTTTCTGGGGAAACTTGACATTTTATAATCATGATTGATTATTTTAAGCAGCTTTGATGACTGTTGGTAAGGAAAAATGGAATTATGTATAAAAATGAGTAAAACCTTGTGTGTTTTAATTGCGCAAAACAAAGGACCATAGGTTCGATTTTGAAAATGTGGTTTTTGGAATTTGAGAAAATCTGCATGTAATATGTTGCCATCATTCTACTCCAGTTACTCTTTTTCGAAAATAAGTTTACTGGTTGGATTGACCTGAAGACCATCTGCTTCACTTGCTTGCCACCGGAGTTGGTCATAAAGCACCAGTTTCTTCCTGATGAATATACATAATTGTTTTAGCTTGTGTACTAACCTTCTCTGAGAACTCCTTGATCACATAATATAAAATAACAGATCTCTGTCTCTGTCTGTCTCTCTCTTTTTGTCTTACGTGGGTAGGGCAAGAACAACAAACATCACCTTTCCCCATTAACTAAATGAGCAGTCTAATTACTGTGTGTCTTGTATTGTAAGAATTAATGTTTGTAAACTATTTCAAGAGGCTTAGATTAAAGATGCTATACAAGTGGAAAGAATTATTCTTGAAAATGATGAGTTGGGTTTCTGTAACAAGGCAAAACATGACAAGAATTCCAACAGTGAACTGTAATCACTTGAAGTGGTGCATCAGCTGGGGTGTTAGGAATATTAATGTGATTTCTTACAGAATGAAAGCAAGCTCTGAATTATACAGTATGTTAGCATTGTAAAATAAAGTGCCATTGCCTTTAGTAAGTGTGACAAATTTTGAGTTTATGTTTTTAGATTTCATTGTTTTTCCATACATCTATATGTTGTTCAATATTCTTGATATTCAAAAACAAGTTTGTTCTACGTATGTGGTAGTTTACCGTTAAAAGCATATAATTATGTTAGCAAAGTTGGACGATGGTGAGGGTAATTGGATATGTAGCCCTTAGGACGGTGTTGTCCAAACTTGGCCACTTTAAGATGAGTGGACTTCAACTCCCAGAATTCCCCAGCCAGCCATGAGTTGAAGTCCACTCATCTTAAAGTGGCCAAGTTTGGACAACACTGCCTTAGGAGCTCAGTGGGTTGTGAGTACTGTCAGTAATTTTGCAGTTCTGATAGAGATACAAACTATCACAAGTTGAGTATTGGATGTTTTATTATTAAAAGTTACACAATTTATCTACTGTCATGTAATAATTTGCACGGCGGGTATTTTGGCTGATACTGTTGAATCTTCTTTCTGACATAATCTAACCTTCAGATAAAGTAAAATAATAATGTTGGCGGGAAAAAAGCACTTAAAAATGTAGAAAGTAAAATAGCAGATCAGAAGATTAGCAAAGTTATTTAAATAGAGTGGCACCTACACACTTGGGTCCTGTTCCCTTCTTTATTCCCTGGTCCTCCATTAAAACATCTCCATGATACTTGTCTGATTCCGCTTGCCTTTCCAAAGCCAACCTAAAACTTGCTAAATAATTTACCTGCCATTTGGTTCCACCCTTCAGGTGACTTTAGTGTAAACAGTCTGAAAAGTTTTAGAACTTTGGAAATCAATCTTGTGTGAATTATGAATAATTTAAGAGTGCTTAAGTACTGGAAGAGTTGACCAAGTGTTGCTTCTCAGAGAGCTCTAAATGGGGCTTCTGAAACTATAAGAACACTGTGAGCATGGACTATAGAAAGAACATAGAGAAATACGAAGTGTCAAAGACCTTCATAATTGCCTGATCCCTGGATCTGTTGGTTTAGAAGACAAAAAAGACAAGACAGACTTGAAGCCAGAAAAAATAGTTGCATTTGTGAACTTTGATGAAATCTTCTGGTCAGATGGCTTGTTTGGGGATTTAATGAGGTAGCTACATTGTACGTGACATCTACATATGTTCTCCCTTTCCTTTTTTTAGTTTTTTTTATATTAATAATATTTATGTTTTAATTTTAGAGCTTTTTTTGTAATTATTGTTTTTATGGTTTTATTGTACGCCACCCAGAGTCACATTTCCATGAGATAGGCAGTGTATAAATATGAATGGGTAAATAGATAGATAGATAGATAGATAGATAGATAGATAGATAGATAGATAGATAAAATTTTACCCTCACTTATTAGGTGGGAACGTGTAACCAGTCTTTATTTATGATATGTATTTGATGTGATATCCAGTTAATGGGGTTTTTTGAAACTTCTCAGCAGCTGGACCCAATAATTTGCTTTGCTGCGTTCCAGCAGGATCACCAGGTGTCTTCCACAAACTGCAAGCAGAGGCATTCTCACTGCCTTCTGCGCATGCTCAAAAACTCTAGTCTTACAGCACAGTCTGAAACCAATACATAACCTTGATTTTTTTGAAAGACTTTTATTCGGTTTTGGTAACTTTTAGTACATAGGTGTCATAACTTTAAATATAGTCGAGTCAGAAGTCCAAATTTTTCTTGTCTGTATCTGAAGTTTCTTTTAAAAAAGGAATCTGGTCATTTTACCCAAGATCTTTCCATTTTGCTCCAGGATGTATTAGTGCCAAATTGCTAAATTTCTCTCTTTTCTTCTTTTTTTTAATAGGCCAGATCTGTAATAGGAGTTGGTCTTGGCATAGCAGCCATTGCTTTTGGAGGTAAGTATGAATATGTTTAATAATAATAAACTGCTGTATGATAATGTAATGCAATTTAGCAAAAAAACAAAACAAAACCTGAAACTACCTTTTGTATCCAGTGAGATTACCAGTTCATCAATATATAAAGAAGTAAAGTTTCCCTTGAGTTGACCTTGGCATCTAGTGGCTATATTTTTTTCAGCTTGGCAACAGTACTGGAGAAGTTTGCTACTGCCTTTGTTTCAAAATGTTTTCTCATTTTCCCAGTCTGTCTTTCCTATTGGTCTCCCATCTAAATACTTATCCAGTGTGATACTGTTTAGCTAAAGATTAGCTGAAGTTGGGCAAATGCTACATCCTGCTTTAGCAAAAACATTTGAGTCAGGCTCAGTTCCTGCTGTGTACATGGATACCTCCTTAGATTTTTTATTTGGCAACTACCTTTTATACCAGTGTTTCTCCACCTTGGCAACTTTAAGACGTGTGGACTTCAACTCCCAGAATTCCCCAGCCAG